ACAGAGTGGAGTAGGAGCAGAGAGGGAGGGAGAGAGAATCCCAAGCAGGCTTCAAACTCCCAGTACAGAGCCTGACTCAAGGCTTGATCCCATGAACTGGGAGATCGTGACCTGAGCTGAAATCAAGAGTCAGATGCTCAACCAACTGAGCCACTCAGGCGCTGTTCTTCCCCCGCCCCCCGCCACGTAGGCTTCCCACTCAGCATGGAGCCCAACGTGGGTCTTGAACTCATGACCCTGAGATCAAGATCTGAGATGTAATCAAGAGTCAGATACTTAACTGACTGAGCCACACAGGCATTTCCCCCGTCCCCCTTGCACATAATTTTTATTTAGATAAATATAGCCCTTCTCTTCATTACTGACCAAGATACCTTTTAAGAGTTGACAGCAGAGTTTCTTTTTCTTTTTTGACAGCCAGGCTGGTTCTAAGCCTGTGTCTAGCAGTTGCCATGGCTTCTTGTTCTTCAAGTTTTCTCTAGTACTTGTCACTCCCTTTCCTCAAGGGAAAGAAAATTTAAATGAGTCACGTGGCCAGTTGAGATGAATAATAACTTTGTCATTTGGCCAAAGGAATGGGACCTTTATGCCATTTAATTTGATGCTAATTTGGCTTATGGAAACAGATTGTATACATTTTAGAGCTCTAAATTCAGAGTCCTTTTTTTTTTTTTTAGTTAATCAGTATTTCTGTTACATAGTGCTGTAGTGCTTGAGAGCTTTTTTTCTTTTTGCAGCATATTTTGGCATGTAACTTCTATTTTGTGTGCTCAACTCTTTAAAAGTTGTGTGTGTGCTTTTCAGGCAACAGCTGAACAGATGCGTCTCGCTCAAGTGATCTTCGATAAAAATGATTCAGAGTTTGAAGCGAAAGTTAAACAGGTATGTTTTGGCAAATTATACTGTTATTTTGGCAGTAGAGTCTTCATAGTTACTAGTGTTGTCAACGATGAGGTAGACATTTGTGAAAAGGCACATTGACATTGTCTCTACCTGTGAATAGAAGGTACATTTAGTATTTGGCAGGTTTTCAGAAAATTTTGTTTAATGTTAAGAAGAACTGAATTGCCTCTTTCAACATGGTTGTGCTTCCAAACATAGGCTGGAAAAATATAACATTAAATTTTAGGGTGATGTTTTCACTTAGAACTTTGAGAGGCCATTTTGGTAATAAAATCTTAATCTCAAAATCTTCTTTCCTGTTAAGACTTCTTTTTCTTTCAAGATTCTAGAATCAAGCTGTAACACTTCTCTTGTTCCATCCCTTGGTAGAGGTCTACCAGTAATTGTTTCTTGGAGTGATTGTCCCATAGTGAACTTGTTACTGAAAGTTAGATGGAAAAAGAAAGAAGTCTCAGTTCTTTTTGCAGCCACGGTAAAGAATTCCAGAAGAGCAAACAAAACAAAAAAACCAAAACAAAATTTTAGTAAAGTATACTCCAATGGAGGAACAGACCAGTCAAGAGAGACGTTGGCCTTGGAAACTCGGGGTGTGGACTTAACATCAATTTTTTTATTTTTGGCAAATCCTAAGGTTGCAACATTTGAGTGACAGACCTGGATTATATAATAATTATCCAACTATGCAGGTCCTTTCCCAAGATGTATTTGAAGCCTGCACCTGTAGGAAACCATGACATTATTTGTATTCTAGAGACATAGGTCAGATAAGTACAAACATCTGCTTTCTACACAAGTGCAACAAGCACAACAGACTTGAATCTTCTTCTGCTGGGATGTTTAAGCACAAACCCACTGCTAGATAGGTGGAATGGGGTGGTCCCCTGACTCTTCTCAGTTAGAGTTCTCCATCTGGACATCTAAGGTCGCTCATGCCTACCTTCCTGCCTAACAAACTATTTTGCCCTTTACTATGTAAACTCTTTGCTTTTACTTATAGTTGCTGTTGTTAGACTGTTGGTAATATTTTTAGAAGGCCACAAAAAATTTATTAAAAATTATAGAACTCTTTTTCTGGAAGGAGATTTATGTACAGTTTGAGATGTACTGCTCCATATTATATTGCATTTTATATGAATAGCATAGTAGATACATAAAAAAAGAGCACTGGTCCAGGAGTTCAGAGTTAGAAGTTTAAATTTCAGTCTGTTACTAATTCAATCACTGGGGGTAATTTTGATACTTAATATTCATCTTAATACAGGCATATTGCAGGTATTGTGTTAATACAGATCACTGATGGGGCGCCTCGGTCTCTTAGTTGGTTAAGTATCCAACTATGGCTCAGGTCATGATCTCACAGTTCATGGGTTCGAGTCCCGCATCTGGATCTCTGCTGTCAGCACAGAGCCCACTTCAGATGATGTGTCCCTATCTCTCTCTCTGCTCTTCCCTTCCCATGTGCGTGCTTTCTTTCTCTATTTCCCAGAAATAAGTAAACATTAAAAACAACAAAACAGATCATTGATTAAAACTGACACTAGTAGATATCCAAAGACCAAAGCACTGGAAAGCTGTAAAGTGCGTAGAACTTTAGCTGTGTAAAGCAGAGAGGAAATCAGAGAGAGAGGGTATAGTGCAAAGAGCTGTATTTATGAGATCAAGATACCTAGATTCCAGGTAGGCTTTGCTATCAATTAGTTTTTTGACCCTAGAGAAAGCACTTCAGATGTTGGGGTCATACCATTTTGAACAGGTAGTACACACTAAAACAGTTATATGTATGTAAAACACAACAGATATGTAAATCATACATTTCAGTTGTAATTAAGAAACCTGTCTTGTGCCTAATCTGTGATTATACTTGGTGATGAAAATGTTAACTAGCTTAATCTGCCTTGTTACAGAGAATGTATCAGGGGATTTCTTTGATTACTTCAAACATAGTGCCCTGTTGAAGCTGCTTGTGAAAGTACTGTGTCTAGAAGTGAGTTGGTCATAGCTATAGAATTGCATTTGTGAGAACTTTAGGTGTTGCAACTTAGTATGTATATGGAGTGTTCTAATCCAAGGGGTGATAGACCACATAGGGAATGTTTTCTCTGTATAAAATAGTTGGACTGGATGTTCTGTTAATGTAGCCACATACAGCTGGTCTTTGGGAAATGTATAGTCCACTTACTGTTTGGTTCAGAATTTTGCAAATCCCAGGCCATTGAACTAAGAGACTAGTCAGCTGACTCTGCATATGCTGAGAATGTTGGTATATATGTATGTGTGCGCTGCTGATTAATAATCTGATACTTGGTCAGTTTGAAGGAGGGTTAATTAGTAGTTTGGCTCTTCTGTACTTCTAAAAAGACAATGAATGGCTACAAAAAGCAGGTAAACCTATCCTTGGATTATAAGCTCAGAGTTTGGAAGGAGGGCATCTTCATGTGGATGGACTGTGTAGTTTGTATTTTTATATAGAAGAATCTTTTTTAAATTTATTTTATTTAAAACTTTTTTTTTTTTAATGTTTATTTTTGAGAGAGGAGAGACAGAGCGTGAGCAGGGGAGGGGCAGAGAGAGGGAGAAACAGAATCTGAAGTAGGCTCTAGGCTCTGAGCTTTCAGCACAGAGCCTGACTTGGGGCTCGAACTCAATTGTCAGATCATGACGTGAACTGAAGTAGGATGCTTAACTGACTGAGCCACCCAGGCTCCCCAGAATCTTTTTTTTTTTAATGTTTATTTGTTTATAATAGAGCTCACGTGCACACAGTGAAGGGGCCGAAAGAGAGGGTGAGAGATTACCAAGCAGGGTCCACCCTGTCAGCACAGAGCCTGGCAAGGGTCTTGAACCCATGAACCATGAGATTACGAACTGACCTAAAACCAAGACACTTAACTGACTAAGCCACCCAAGTGCCCCTAGAAGAATCTTAAAATTAATATTAATTGCCATTTTGGAGTCCCTTTAACTATTTCCTTATAATTTTGATAGCTTATGGAAGTGACGGGGAAAAATCAGGATGAGTGCATAGTGGCTCTACATGACTGTAATGGAGATGTGAACAAAGCTATCAATATATTGCTGGAAGGGAATTCAGACACGGTAAGTATTACTAATTATTATTAATTGTTTTGCAGTGCCAAGATTTGTCTCCAAATCCATATTGCATTTTGAACTTCACCTTTTTGGGGGTGGGGGTGGAGAAGGTTATGGGTTCCATTCCATATTTGTTTTAAGACCAGAAAGAACACTAACCTGAAATGACTGTTTTTGTTATATATGGTTTCTTCATGAAGTTGTAGAATCTGAAGACTCGAAAGAGAACTTGGTCATCTACTCCAGCCTTACACAGTTTCCAAATTCTCTGGGCCTGTGGACATTTTCACCACCTGAAAAACTTCTCTTGGCTTCACTGCTCATGTTTCTTCATCTCAGTCGTCACCTCTTACTACTTCTTATATCTCTAGACTAACAGAAAACCAGGATTTGCTGGTATATCTATTTGCTTATGTGTGAATATTCTACAGACAAATTTTGACAGATAGATAAAATAAGGAAAAAACAAAGTGTGGTTTTTTTTTGTTGTTGTTGTTGTTTTTTGTTGTTGTTGTTTAGTAAAGTTTGAGGATGTGTAAGCACACTAAACCTCATCCCTTTTATTTTAGGAAGGATATAACTAAAGCCACAGTAGGCAGTTGTTAGCCCTAATCTTTTGATTTCTACATGGAGATTGCACAATATTTCATTTGTATTTGGAATTGAAACCATTTCAGAGCAGATTAAAACAAATAATGATGCACCTTAAAAGGGGTATAAAAATGAATGCAACCAGAAATGCCTTCCTTGTCCAAGTTTAGTCAGGTTCTCATTTTTAAGGATAGGCTATATAAAAATGAACTGTTTGAAAGTAAAACATGTTATCTTTAATATAAAATAAGCAGAATGAGTTTTTTGTAATTATAAAAATCAGATAATTGGGAAAATATTTCACTATTTGAGTATAGCAATATCTGTGAGTAAAATTCCATTCAAGATAACACTAGTCAACATGATGAGCTACCAAATATGTCAGTTTGTTGGGAAAATACATCATGTTAAGTGATGAAATAAAATTTTGAATAGTTTTTGTTTGCTGACACTTAGGCCTATGTTTTCTAGGGAGTGTGTTTACCACATTGCTAATGGTTGCAGTGTAGAATGGCTCTCTGTTAATTTCCTTTCCTCTTTTTTTTTTAATGTTTATTTTGAGAGACCACGTGAGTGGGGCAAGGGGGGGAGAGAGAGAGAGAGAGAGAGAATGAGAATGAGAATCCCAAGTAGGCTCCCATCTGTCAGCACAGAGCCCAACGGGGGACTCAGTCCTATGAACTGTGAGATAAAGACCTGGGCTGAAATGTAGATTGAGATGCTTAACCATCTGAGCCATGCCGGTGCCCCATCTCTATTCTTTTCAAAATGAGCTGAAGGGCTAAACTGTCCTCCTATTTACATATTTAAAAAATTACTCTGAATAAAGGTAATATTTCCAAATTGTTAATTGGAGGGCCTGTTTTCTTTTTTACGGTACAGGTAGTCCAGGAGACTACTTTGTGTTGCCTTTCCATTAGCTCCAGCAGACTTTATTCCTTTTCTGTGGTAGTTGGGTGAATTTTTAAATCTTAAATGTCCAGTTCTCTGTTTTAGTTAGTTTTACTTCCTCTGCTCATTTAGCACTGAACCCAAAGGAGTTAGTACTGGGGTGAATGATAAAGAATATATCTTTGGTTATCTTGAACCTGAAAATCATGAAGTGGGGTCAGATCTGGTTTGCTTTCTTCACATATCAGAAAATAGCAAAATTAGGGCCTGAATACAGACACAAAAGGTCTATGCTTGTTGAGAGATGAGAAGGCTGTTGAGAGAAGAGGCAGAGGGAAAGTCCTTTTGAAACCCTGGTTTGTTTAGGATCATGCCGTGGTACATCTTTTCTTTGATAGTAGAACCTACCTACCTGGTTGCTGTCTGCAGCAGCCATGGCTAACCAGCTGTAAGGAATATCTTCCCCTGACTGGGGTAGAATTTATTGGACTGGGGTGCTAGACAGTGTAAACACTGTAGGGTTGGTAGGAGCAAGAACATTTAAAATAAACCACTAAAGGCCGCCTGGGTGGCTCAGTCGGTTAAGTTTCTGACTTTGGCTCAGGTCATGATCTCGTGGTTCATGAGCCCCGCCTCGGGCTCTGTGCTGACAGCTGGAGCCTGGAGCCTGCTTCAGATTCTGTGTCTCCCTCTCTCTCCTGCTTGTGCTCTCTCTCTTTCTCTCAAAAATGAATAAACATTAAAAATTTTTTTAAATCATGAATGCAAACAAATCTATTTGTCCTATTGGCTAACCTTATTTTGGGCCAGGATCTTCTGAATCCAGATTTTTTCTCTGAAAAAAATGTTAAGTGGAAATGTCCATGCTTTTCTTAAGGAAGAGTGTCTTTCTCACGGAAGAGTAGCTGTTGCAAAAGAAAACATTAAACATGATCATAAGTACTAAACCTTTCGTTTCATTATAATGCTATTTTGAGTGACAGAATATTTTTGAAATAATCAGTCTTTTGCATTAATGTATTTTTCTTTTCCACGTAATTTGTTTGTTGTGTAGTTCCTGGCAAATAGGAGGTGGGAGAGTGAATTTTAATTAGCTGGCCTGGGAAGTTGCTTTTCTGATTTGTAAATGTGTCTGGGAGGGCCATCCCTCTTAGAGTTTCTTCAGACCTATTCTACAAGTAGTGGCAAAATACAGATAACAAAGGTTGTCAGAAGTTCTGTTGAAATCTTTTATAATTTGGTTCGTGTTGAAAGCTTGTGTGCATGCTCATGGACTGTTGTGTCAAATGAGAGATATTCTTTTTAGCATTTACGGTGGTGTTAGGTTAGTTGCCCCTTAAGTTTGCTTTCCTTACTTTGCCTCACAAATAAGTTCTTGTCAGTCTCTGTAGAGTTCACAAGCCAAGACTTGCTTATGGGTATCCTTTGCTGGATGAAATGGGCTCAGATGTTTTTCTCAAATGTTTTATATACAAAGTATGCCCCTTTATAATGATTGAATACCTTTAGGTCTGGCCATGTAAAGACATTATAAATTGTATACATATGCAACTTGTGCTGACTCTACTGTGTATAATTTTCTAGGACCTCTGTAATTTACTTTTTCTCTTGTTAACCTAAGAGGACAGGATTCTACCTTATATGTGTGTGTATATATATATATATATAAGTATCTTGTTTATTCATATTAGCAAACATAATAAATTGAGTTTGTACAATGCAGAATTATTTTCTGGAATAAATAAGCTTTATTGTTTACTTAAAAAAGCAATGCAGAATAAGAAATTAAATCAGATTAATGCCCTCATTTAAATAACTGTTCCTAACTTTCTTCAGTATATGCATGGGCTTCCATTTGAACAAAAAATGTAATCCTATTTTATACAGTTTGTTGGATAGCTGGCTACACTTGTGTCATGGATCTCTTTCTGTGTACACCTGGATAACTCTTTAAGTGGCCACATTAAGTGGCTACTCTTTAAGTGGCTTCCCTTTATAGATGTTCTAGGGTAGATAGTCTCTTAAGCTAGATATTTGTGCCCTCCCCCCCCCGCCATTTTGTACTGTTGCATATAAATGTTTGCACAATTAAAAAATTATTTCCCGTGAATAAAGGCCTGGAACTAAATTTGCTGGGTCAAAAGCTGTGAACTAATTAAAGTTTGAGTATTATTCCCAGATAGACTTGCAGGAAGGTTAAAATAGCTGCATACTCATCAGAAGTGAATATACCTGATTATTATCATGCTGAAATTGTTGTTGATTTTTAAAAATATTTATCAAAGCTTAAATGCAGAAAATTACTTGTTTTAATATGTATTTTTGCCATATCCAGTGATTTTATATTTAAGTATACATAGGTTCAGCAGAGGTTTCTAGATGTTAGAAAAATTCCTTCTAAAAAAAAGGTTTTAATTCTGGCCTCCACCATTTTGGAAATAATTCACCTCTATGTTTCTTTAATTTTAGTTGATTAATTTCTAGTGCTTTTGTTTATTTGGATATACATTGTTAGTAATTTCCTTTTATTGCTAAGTGTTTTTTAAGCTTAATAAAGTTATGCTCTTATTTTGGGATTGAATCACTTCAAATCTCTTGAGAATGAGTTAAATAATGACAAAGTAAATAGAAACAAATGGGCCAGTTTTGGGATTTCTCAATAAAATACCTTTATTGATATCCTAATACTCACTTTCACAAGAACATAGCGTTCTTTTCTCAGTGATTTACATATATATGATTGATTTGATTTCTGTACTATTGTTTTTTTTATTATTTAAAAAAATTTTTTTAACGTTTATTTATTTTTGAGACAGAGCATGAACGGGGGAGGGTCAGAGAGAGAGGGAGACACAGAATCTGAAACAGGCTCCGGGCTCTGAGCTGTCAGAACAGAGCCCGACGCGGGCCTCGAACTCACAGACTGTGAGATCATGACCCGAGCTGAGGTCGGACGCTCAACCGACTAAGCCACCCAGGCGCCCCTGATTTCTGTACTATTAGAGGAGAGGCAGAGAAGGGAAGTTATATAAATAATTTGACTTCTCATTAGAACAGGTCTTTGAAGTTGAACTTTTGGGTAGTTTACTTTTTTTTAATGTTTAATTATTTTTGAGAGAGTGCACATGCGCACACAGTTGCAAGTGGGGGAGGGGCAGAAAGACAGACTGGCTCTGAAGCAGGCTCGGGCTCCACACTATCTTTGGGTACTTTGAAAAAAAAAAAATTTTTTTTTTTTTTTTTTTTTGGCCTACCATTAAATTTTTTTAGATGGTCATTTTGGTTAACTGAATAGAGCAAGTTGTTTTTCTGAGATTTTATCGAGTATTTAAAAGTAATTTTGTATTCTTTGAGCAAATCCATTTATTAATAGGTTTAAGGCTTACTGATAAAGGTGAGGATGGCATTGTGTGGGAAATTGGGGAAACATCAGTTACTTTAGTCTTAAATCACAGGTAAAAGCCTTAAAGCACAGGAAAAGGCTGTGTGGGGGGACAACACACAGTATGTTAATTCAGCTAGTTGCTGTCATATATAGCATAAATATATATACATGTATATGTATATGTGTGTGTGTGTGTGTGTATATATATATATATATATATATATGCTGTATATAGCAATAGGAGCCTAGCAAGAGGTTTGTTGTCTTTATCATCAGAGGATAAGATTTAAAATGTTAGGCAAGTGAGTTGCAAGGCATGGGTAATTAGGTCTGAAAAATACATGTGCATACCCTTAATGAGTGTATACACTTTGAACGACAACTCTGACCATTCTTATCTTTGGTAGACTTCATGGGAGACTGTAGGGGGGAAGAAGAAGAATTTTGGAAAAGAAAGTTCAGAGAACAAAGAGAATAGAGAGAAGAGAAATGAGAGAGAAATAAATCGTGGACGTGGAAATAACAACCGGAAAGGAAGAGGTGGCAATCGTGGGAGAGAGTGTAAGTACATTTCTTCTCAGTTTTTCATTATGAAAATTTTTATGCACACCGTAAAGCTGAAAGTGATCCAGTGAATGCCCATAAATCTAGTTCCTCAATGCAGTGTTTATTATTATAGTTAACACTTAATGAGCTACAACTAAGTAGTTCATTAGAATTTTAACTGATGCAATTCCATGTTAGCCCTTAACCTGAGCTGTAGGTAATTGTGTTGTCTCTTAAGACTGCTTTCTGTTATGTATCAATTGAACCCTTTAATTTTTTTTTTTTTTTTTAATGTTTATTTAAGAGAGAGAGAAAATCCCAAGCCGGCTCAGTGCAGAGCCTGACTTGGGGCTCAAACTCAGAAAATGTGAGATCATGACCTGAGCTGAAATCAAGAGTCAGGCACTTAACCAACTGAACCACCCAGGCGCCCCAGGTGTACCTTCTCATTTTAAACTAGGTTTTTCATTCCCTGATAGATGATGCTGTTTATTCTTCCCACTTAACACACACTCATATAAGCAAGGGTTTGATAAAAAGTTTGTCAAATAGGAAAGATTTTCACTGTTCTTTCATTTGATCCAGAGTTTGTAATTATTTACCCATAACAACACTACCTGCTGTGCAGCCATACCAAAATAGCTGAATTTTGAGTGAATAAAAGGTAAATACTTAATATTATCATCTTAGAGACGTTTGCTAGTTTATTTACTCCACAGATGTTTACCTACAATGTGGCAGGTACTCTAATAGGCATAGGGCAATGAATAAAACAAATTTTTGCTCTCCTAAAACTTGTAATGTAGGTGGAGTGAGAAGTAACATGTTTTGCAGGAATATTGCATTTTAATGATGTTATATGTGGAAATTATGGGGAAGAACAAAGGCATCAAGATCGGGATTTGAGGGAGGTATTTGGCAAATTTATTTATTTTATTTTTTTTAAGTTTATTTATTTAGAGAGAAAGAGAAAACGAGCAGGGGAGGGACAGAGAGAATTCCAAGTGGGATCTGTGGTGAAGCACAAATGTGAGGCTCTCGAACCCATGAACTGTGAGATCATGACCTGAGCCAGACCACCTAGGTGCCTCAGGGAGTTGTTTGGCAAATTTAAATGGAGTAGCCAAAAAAGGCACTTGGGACAACACCAATGACTCATGGGAAAAGAGATGAGAGAAAGCTGTGCCAGTACTGCTCATGAAATTTCTGTATTCTATACAGTCATTAATGCCAATAAAGGGATGAGGAGAAGACAAGACCATGTTGACATATTCTGGATAGCATCCTAAGAAAACCGGTCTGCAACGTAATTTTTCTAGCAACTCAGTATTTCTTTGGTATTGCTGTTTCACTATTCTGTGACTTTCTAGGCTTTGAACATAAACAGTGGGCCAATGTTGGTGTGTTATGTAGCTGGATAAGCATTTTTTTGAAGCAAACTTGCTTTAGGGGAGGGCCAAGTTCAACTAGAACAAAGAAAAAGTGGTACATCATTTTAATTTCCCAACAGAATTTTCAGTTATGAATTTACAAGATGTGTTGTCATCAGTCTTTAAAAATTTCTTTTCAATGTTTAATTTGAGAGAGAGCACGAATGGGGAAGGGGTAGAGAGAGAGGGAGAGCGAGAATCCCAGGCACACAGAGTCTGACGTGAGGATCTTATGAACCTTGAGATCATGACCTGAGCCGAAAGCAAGAATCAGGCGCTTAACTGAGCCACCCAGGTGCCCCACTGTCTGCAGTTTTTGATCCACTTTTATTTGGTTTTGTTTTTTCCTGTTTTCTGATCCATTTGGTGAAACTCTTTTGTCCTTGCCTTTGATAATTCATACGTACGATTATATACAAGAGGTGCTCTTTTCTTCCATAGTTAGAGGCGAAGAGAATGGAATTGATTGCAGTCAAGGGGACAAGCATTCAGACCGTGGCAAGCGAACCCGTGGCAGAGGTAAGACAGAATAACAGGGAAGGAGATGGTTGTGTTCGGAAGAAGGATCAAGCTATTGGTATACTTACTTCTCCACTAAAGCATGGCACTGTACTCTGAAAGAATGGTTGATCTTGTGTAGTTTTTTGATTTGTTTACTGATGGCTATGAATGAATTGTTTGAATTCATGTAATTTTGAGGAAATTTTGTGGTTGTTTTCAAATAAGCCAAGAAAGCCCTTTAAATGAATAATATAAAACTTGAAGTTCTGATCAAAAAGTTACTAAATTCTTCTATGTTGGACTTTAACAGATGTGTTTTACTCATATGATACTGGTTTTATTTAATTTTTTTTTCAGTTTATTTATATTGAGAGAGTGAGCGAGCTCAAGAGAGAGAGAAGGGGAGGGGCAGAGAAAGGATCCCAAGCAGGCTCCCTGCTGCCAGTGGAGAGCCTGACAGGCTCTGTCTTGACGTGGGGCCCAGTCTCATGAACTGTGAGATCATAACCTGAGCTGAAATCAAGAGTCAGGTTCTCAATCGACTGAGTCACTCAGGCACCCTATGTTAGTGATCATTTCTCAACATTCATTAATCTGGCATGTCATTAAGCCACTTTAATAACATAATTTCATATTCTTTAGAGATGTGACTGAATTTTCCCAGGGTTGTAAAATCAAGATACACAGTGTAATATGCCGATGTTACTTTGGTTCAGTGGATGACCTCCCAGAATTGACATTTTGCTTGATCCATTTTTTTAATTGTGGTTTTTTTTTTTTAATGCTTATTTTTGAGAGAGAAAGCATGAGTGAGGGAGGAGCAGAGAGGGAAACACAGAATCCAAAGCAGGCTCCAAGGCTCTGAACTGTCATTGCAGAGCCTGACACGAGGCTCTAACTCAAGGACTGTGAGACCTGAGCTGAAATCGACTGAGCCACCCAGGTGCCCCTATTCTTTTTCTTTTCTTTTCTTTTATGTTTGTTTTTGAGAGAGAGAGAGCGCGAGCGAGCGCGGGGGAGGGGCAGAGAGAGAGGGAGACAGAGAATCTTAAGCAGGATCTGGGTTCTGAGCTGTCATCACAGAGCCCCATATGGGGCTCGAACCCATGAACCATGAGATCATGGCTTGAGCCGAAGTCAAATGCTTAACCAACTAAGCCACCCAGGTACCTCTTGTTTTTCTTTAAGCTTTTATTTTTACATAATCTCTACACCCAACATGGATCTCAAACTCTCAACTCCTAGTCAAGAGTTACAGGTCTGCCACCTGGCCAGATGCCACTGTTTGATACATTGTTACATGCAGTTGTGACTGTTCTCCATATAAACACTGCGTATTGACAGAATTTTTGATCATTAGTGTTATTAAGCACAAAAATAATGTAGACACTATATATCCTACCACCAACTACCTTGGCTGTTCATTAAACTGTCACTCACTAAAATACTATATAGGCCAAAGGTAAATGATATCCAGAGATCAGAGAAGGGCAAAACTGTGTACTGATTTGCCAGGCACAGTCAAAATAAGATTGGAATTATCTAACAGATTTTAATTATAATTCCCTTTTCTAGCCTTTTAAAATTATGATCAATTTCGGAAGTGCCTGGCTGGCTCAGTTGGTGGAGTGTGTGACTCTTGATCTCAAGATTGTCAGTTTGAGCCCCGTGTTGGGTATAGACATTACTTAAAAATAAAATCTTAATAAAATAAAACAAAATTATGATCAATTTCAAACTTAGACAAAAGTGGAGAGAGTAGTTAAATGAACCATATGTATACTCCCTCTTAGTCAACAATAACTAAAGATTTTTGTCCATATTGGCTTTATATGTCTCTTTCCTACCTTGTCTGCAGAGATTTTTAAGTCATAGTAAACTTTTGGTATCATCTAATAGTCTGATTTTTTACAAAATTTTATGACTATTTAAAAAATTTTGGGGCGCCTGGGTGGCTCATTTGGTTAAGCATCCAACTTTGGCTGAGGTCATGATCTCGCGGTTTGTGAGTTCGAGCCCCACATCGGACTCTGTGCTGACAGCTTGCTCAGAGCCTGGAGCCTGCTCCGGATTCTGTCTGCCTTTCTCTCTGCCCCTGCCCTGCTCACACTCTGTCTCTGTCTCTCTCAAAAATAAATAAACATTAAAAAAAATTTTTTTTAAATGTCTTTTCACAGTTGATTTCTTTGAGGCAGGATTGAAACAAGGTTTATACATTGCATGTTCTTTTTAATCTAGAATATTTTTCTTCCTAACATCTCTGTACCACCTCTTTTTTCTCTTTACCATTGATTTGCTATCAGAACTCTGTCATTTGTCCTTTTAGGATGTCATGTTTCACATCATACAGAAAGAATGCTAAGCAAGCACTGGGCTGTCAGCGCAGAGCCCAGTGTAGGGCTTGACCTGAGGTGAAACTGAGAGTTGGACTCTTAACCGACTGAGCCACCCAGATGCTCCTATTAAAAGGAGCATTAATAAACATTAAAATTTATTTTTGAGAGAGGGCATGAACATAAATGCACAAGAAAATCAGTGGGGGAGAGTCAGAGAGAGTAAGAGAGGGAATATTCCAAGCTGGCTCTGTGCTGACAGCTCAAGAGCCCCATGCAGGGCTTGATTCCGTGAACTGTGAGATCATGACCTGAGCTGAAATCAAGAGTTGGTTGCCCAATCGACTGAGCTACCCAGGCAACCCTATTTAATTTTTTTTTATTAGAGAGAGAGAGAGAGAGAGCGAGCGCGCGCGCGCGAACTGGGTAGAGGGGCAGAGGGAAAGAGAGAATCTTAAGCAGTCTCCATGCTCATTGCAGAGCCTGACTTGGTGCTTGGTCCTGTGACCCTGGGATCATGACCTGAGCCAAAATCAAGAGTGAGTTACCTAAGCTCTCTGAAAGATTTTATTTTGTAAGTAATCTCTCTATGCATTTGGGAATTCAAAATGGAGTTTGAATTCACAGCCCAGAGATCAAGAACCACACGCTCTATGGACTGAGCCAGCTAGGCGCCCCAGTACCTAATCCTTTTTAAGAAAGGATGTAAAGGGGCACCTGGGTGGCTCAGTTGGTTGAGCGTCCTGCTTCAGATTCTGTGTCTCCCTCTCTCTCTGCCCCGCCCCTGCTCATGCTCTGTCTCTCTCACTTTCAAAAATGAATAAATGTTAAAAAAAAAAATCTTTAAAAAAAAAAAAAAAGGATGTAAAGTGGGAGTGAGGGATTCAGATTGACCTTCTATAAATCAAATTGGACTTAATTTTTTCTTATTATTTACTTTTGAGAGGGAGAGAGAGCATAGGCAGGAGAGTGGCAGAGAGAGAGAGAGGGAGACACATAATCCAAAGCAGTCTCCACAGGCCCTGAGCTGTCAGTACAAACCTAGGAGCTGTGAAATCATGACCTGTGCTGAAGCCGGATGCTTAACTGACTGAGCCACCCACGTGCCCCTATAAATCAGATTAGACTTAAAAGAAATCAGCCTACCATATACCCCACGTGTAAACGTGAGTTAAAATTTGTATATCCTAACACCTATATTTAAACATATTTAAGCAAGTTCTTGGAATGGTAGTGGTCTGTGTCTGGAGATTTCTTTCAATTGCTTTGATTCCCACATCCAGCACATGGCAAGAGGGGGAAAACACTTAGTACCCTATATACACAAAAACACGATTATTTTGCTTAGTGAATATTAGTACAGTTTGATAGTTAATTGTGGTGCAATTGTCACTTCAATAATTAAGGGATAAATGTCTTGTTTTATGTAACCCAGAAATTCACTTGTAAGTCATTTAATATCTTAATTTACTTTCTTATGGTCTGTTTTATTAGTCTTTTTTTTTTTTTTTAATTTTTTTTTTTTCAACGTTTATTTATTTTTGGGACAGAGAGAGACACAGCATGAACGGGGGAGGGGCAGAGAGAGAGGGAGACACAGAATCGGAAACAGGCTCCAGGCTCTGAGCCATCAGCCCAGAGCCCGACGCGGGGCTCGAACTCACGGACCGCGAGATCGTGACCTGGCTGAAGTCGGACGCCCAACCGACTGCGCCACCCAGGCGCCCCTGTTTTATTAGTCTTTTAAAACCATTCATTCTTCTGTTGTTTTGCAGTTATTTTTGGTTTGTTGTGTAGTATGCAGATTTTAGAGTGTGTACTTAGGGGCACTTTCATGGCTAAATCTGTTGTGTCCAGCTCTTGATTTCTGCTCAGGTCATGATCTCGTGGCTTTAGCCCCACGTTGGGCTCTACCCTGCTTGGGATTCTGTCTCTCTTCTTTCTCTGCCCCTTCCCCTGCTCATACTCACTGTCTTTCTCAAAATAAATAAATAAACTTTACAAAATACAGTGTATACTTAAAAACAAGTATAAGCTGTATAACGTGTACTTAAAAACAGTTCTTTACGGTCTCCATTGCCTTTTTTTCTTTTCTTTTTTTTTTAATGTTTATTTTTGAGAGAGAGAGCACAAGCAGGGGAGGGGCAGAGAGAGAGGGAGACACATAATCCAAAGGAGGTTCCAGGCTCTGAGCTGTCAGCACAGAGTCCAATGCGGGGCTTGAACTCACGAACTGCAAGATCATGACCTGAGCCGAAGTCAGAAACTTAACTGGCTGAGTCACCCAGGCACCCCCCCGTCTTTTTTTTTTTTTTTTTTTTTTTATTTATTTTTGAGAGAGTGTGTGTGCAAGCAGGGGAGGGGCAGAGAGAGAGGGGGACCAGAAGATCTGAAGCAGGCTCTGCGATGGCGGCAGAGACCCGATGTGTAGGTTTGAACTCATAAACCACAAGATCATGACCTGAGCTGATGTTGGATGCTCAACTGACTTGAGCCACCCAGCGCCCCTGCATTTATTTTTTGATTTCGACAGTACTTGTGAGCTCCTCTTGCTGACTTCACATTGACTCCCCCGCTCAGCATACTAATCTACATTTGTGACTAAATTTGCTAAAATTTCAAAGTGCTAATAAAACTTGTCTTACTTATTTATTGCTTTATCTGTATAGTATTGGCTTAAAAAAT